AAAATCAAAAACAGTATCCATGCGTTTTTCTCAGTTACGAAGACACCATGATGAACCTAAACTCAAACTGGACGGAACATCTGTACCAATTGTTTAGGAAACAAGGCTTTTAGGTTTTATTTTTAACACAAAACTGATCTTAATTCCATAAATACAGAACTTGAAAGCTAAATGCTTGCAATCTCTAGATTTACTTAAAGTAGTAGCACAATATAACGTTAGAAAACCCATTATTGACCAATCTCCTTCATCAAATATAACGAGCTGAGTATCTCCCACAATATAATATACGTTCGCTACCAAGCCATACTGGCACTCAACGTTAAGTAAAAGCAGATCGCCCTGCTAAACGACCATATCCATAGAACCATCTGATTTTAACATATGCACTTATTTTAAACCTAGTACACAATTCTTTAGTGGCAGGCATCATGGAATGATGCAATGAATAACAAACCCCATGCGATCAAGCCGACCCTAGGAAACTGGGCTTCTTCGAACAGAACCAATCGTAGAAACGAGATAGTCATTGCAAGAATTAGAATCAGTCATACTTATATAATCCACTCCTACATCCTCAAAGGCTAAGACCCACCTGATTGTCTTTCGTGCAATGAAGCATTCACTGTTAAGCACTTTTTGGTATATCGTTTCGATCCCCAACTTGCACGTTACTACAAGGATCATCACATGAAGGCAACGTTTAATGCAATAAATGTATCTTGCCTTTTAAAATTCCTGAAATTAGGAAACATTTATCTTAAGATAAAACTTTTATGCCGTCACTTTGAATATTTGTATGTAATACATCTACCAGCGTTCACATTAAGTACCTTTTGATCTAGATATTCATTGACACAATTCATTTACATTCCCCTTTGATTGGGAAGTTTCATATATTACCCTAATGAACTTATAATTTTCCTTTTAACTGTTTGATATATATAGGTTAGTTGATAAGAATCATTTTATCAACTGTAAATAATCTTACCCTAACATTTTCTATGGCACTAAATAGCTTTACTGTGTTGGTGCGTCGTAAAAACCACAACCAGCCAATCAATCAGACTTGATCAAAGAGCTTCAGGAATATAGGATATAATTGGAATGCTTTTTCTAATACAGTTCACTCAGAAGTCGATGATTCAAGAATACGGCATATGCGTTAAATCTTAATAGTAAGTCAGCATACTATGAGGGGAAAACTCGTATATCTATGATGCTAACGTCTCTGTGTACTTTTCATGTGATTTTCAGTTTCGTGTTTTGCTTGTACGGATGACCCCTCAAACTGTGAAAAAACCTTCCAGCCAGTAATCTGTTCGGCCCCTAACAATTACTGCATTAATCACCTGAAAAACAACGCAGACGCCACACGAGTCGTTATCAGAAGGTATCAAAAGTCCTAAATTGTTCATGTTGTCATGTCAGTAGAGTACAACTCGGAAGTGAATGCATTTTGAAAATAATGTCTTTTCTCTGAGCATCAGACATAAAATGTGGAATCAGTACCACGTCACATTTTACTCCGCATGCTGAACAAATGTATATGGTTATGCTACAATGAAAAATGCTACATTTTTAAATGGTTAAAGGATATTTAGAAGCATATAATCACTTGCACATTTTGAATTTACACCGAGACAGCCTAATCAACCTTTTGATCATCAAATATAACATGTCTCCAGCAATTTTTAATATCTATGAATCGTGTCCATGTAAGGTCTCCATCATTTTTTTACCATCATGTATTACATGCAGGCAGTGAATAAAATAGGGTTGATTATCTATTTATTCACGCTTTTCATCAGACAATTATCACGTTATCATGTGAAAAGCAAACGAACCAAACACAAACCTTGGAAAAAGAATTATTGTATATTTTTGCTTTTATCCTATTTATTCTCCAATAATGATGAATATTTGGATACTATTGACTGCGGTATTGGTGTTGATTATTATGATTTGCAATGCTACCATTTGCATGCCCTGTTTATTATTATTTGTATTAGAATTATAGGAAATAATTTTTGCGTAGTCATCATATCTCTATAATGAATACTTATGAACCTTAAGAGATCTCTTTTAAAATCATTTATGTTTTTCTCCACAACAGATGCGGTAATTATGATGAGTGTGTAACTGATTGGTGGAACACCTATTCAGACAACGAACGATGCAAGAATTTCAATCAAGATGCAAAGTATAATCTTGATTTCAATTGCAGATACTGTTGTGTTGAAACAGGTTGTAATAACAGAATCAATCCTCCCAGAGAGACTAATTTCGTTAAGAATTAGACCGGTTGTTGTTATAATTTTCTGATTATTCCCAGAGCGTATATAGACCTGCAAATAAATTTATAGTGAATTGGATGAAATTATGTATCTTTTTAATTTTAAAGATTTTTTTTAGTAAAGTACAACACTATTGTTTAGTACCATAACTATTTCTTCTAGCTACCATTATTTTCATTTTTCAACGTTAAGAGTGCATACTGTCAAATTCAATTTTTAAATAAAGAAAGTTGCGGCATTTTGTTTAGAAGAGTACTTTCATGCTGAATCAGCGGAAACACAGAGACAAATAAGTTTAAGGTGGTTTGATCGACTTACTATCAAGTGCTTAGCAATTAAGGAACCAAACATACGTAAACATGTGTATATAACGCATATACATATCTAAGGAAGACAAAAGTGAGGGGATATTATATTATTAAAAAAGGTGCTATTTCAGTGTAATGCAATAGCAACATCTCACTTTAGTATAGTTTGTGGAAGAAGCGCACTGTCCTCATACAATGATTACATTTACGGTGAGAAGTGGGGAGGATGATAAAGACATGTCCTTTTAAAATAATAGATATAATGTTTACAATAATTGTCATAGTAATACAATAATTGTCATAGTAATGAAGTTGATAAATTAGTATAGTTACTAATTCTATACCTACGAATACCAGCTAGATGGCTTCAAGTATATACCGCTCCGTTGGAGTAGTGGTTAAAGCGAACGCCTTGGATGAAGAAGGTCGCGGGTTCGAACCCCGGCAGAGTCAAACCAGCGACTTATAAAAATGGTACTAACAACTGCTTCATTTGGCTCCTTGCATTAAGATGTTAGTGTTAGGACCTTTCGGCCTGGTGTCAGGATACTGTAAAATCCATATCACACACATACTCACACTCACCACTCCACTCCCACACTTATTCCGTATTTTTGAAAACATCAGCATTCTGTTATAACAAACCTCTGGTGAAATTTATAAGAAAGACCAAAAGGTTAAAAATAGAATTGTATAAAATTATTATTTTTACAGTCACAAAATTATGGTAGGATCAAATCAGAGTATTCAGTGCTTACTGTCATGTATTGGGCGAGAACACGGATCATACCCCCTTCCCCCAATTTGTTTGGTTTTCTAGCTTAAATTGATGTTAAAAGAGTACGTTAAATTTTAATATGTTCATATGCTGACGGGAAAATTACCATTAACTCATAAAATGTATTTATGTAAACTGCAAAGTCTGAGTCATATTTTCCCACATGGATTTTATATTTGGGTATTCTTTGTTTCAAAGTTTCTCCACGCATCTGGAAATGGCGAGGATGAAAACCTTAAGAAAACGAACTATTCTAGAAGTGTAGTATTTGCATTCCAAAGAGGAACAATCGAAATAAAAATTACAACCATCTATCAGTTTAGTGCTTCTTAATTGCCGTGTATAAAAAGCCAAATTTCAAAGAACCCCATCTTTCATTACTCACACAAGAACATTCATGCTTAATTCAGGTATAAATATAACGTGAACACAATAAAGTATCCAAGACGACATAAAATGAAATCAAAGATAATATACGTTGGGAATAATATGATACTAAAATCATTCTGACATTTTACCCTAAAATCCTTCCAAACAAGTTTGAGTCGACCATCATCATGTATGGCAAAGTCGCAATACGACTGTCGAAGAGATATCTACTTAAAACAGAATCACTCATTGTTCATTTTCTCTGACGTAACGACAGTCTTAAAATAATATACAAATCAACATATTAAAGAGGCAAGATAAAAACACTCACATATAAAATGAGTGAATTACATCTTTAGCTAGATGGGGTGTATGGCTATCAACAAAATAGTATTTACAAAGCAACACAAACCATCTAGACTTTTGATAAAAGAAAACAAAACTTGTACATGTCTGTAAGAGCAGAAACCACACATGCAATACAGGGTAAGAATAAAAAGGAAGTTAAACGGCATGTTTATATGACATTAAATAATAAGCCAGTCAGTCAAATACAGTGATATAAAACTCAACACATTAAAATAATTAGGAGCCATATTGGAACTAAGTTATATATGAAGCAAAAGACTGTTCACATAATATAAAGTGTATATGTTTGTAGATATAATGCTCGAATTTAAATAACCGCGCATTGTTCCATTCCAATTATTGGACACGACAGATTCCACTATCCAAGATGCTAATTTTTTTTATATCCTCAATCCTAATGTCCAAATTTCATTACGTGTTGCACAGCATTTTTAGTTTCAACAAACGTTGCTGTAAACGTGTGTTTTCCTTCCGTTAGCGTTCCTATCGTATTATACCACTGTCATATCAGAAGTAGTTATAGAAAAGAAAGTATTCTAGAACAGAGACCCTTAAACCCTTTCCAATAAGTGCAAGTCGACCAATCATCACACCACATGATCACTATCTTATTGATGACAAAACATGTAATCTATCATCATCAAGGTCATCATCTTTAGGAAACTATTTCAAGTAACAAAATAGTCGACGACCAAACTTTTTTTGAAAGGGTGTTAGAGTCTCTGAGCCATAATTATTGTTTTCCATCACTACTGACAAAAAAAATTTCGTCACATTACTTTTAATGTTCATACAAAATTTCATACCTCTTCACCAATTATCAATGTTTCAACCGTTAATATTAAAAATATTTTATCATCACTATAATAGAGAAAGAAACACTCCGGTGGCCTAGCGGTTAGAGCGTCCATCTCTGATGCGGAAGATCACGGATTCGAACCCCGGCCGAGTCATACCAAAGATATGCAAAAATGGTACGCTCAGCATTAAGAGGTTAGTGTTGGGACTGGTCGGCATGGTCTCAGGAAAATGAAACAGGGTAGAAAATCATTCTGCTTGTCTGCAGCATGATGCTCCAGTGCTAGACATCGCTTTTAACTGTCACACTGCAGACATCGTAGGGATATAACATAAAATTGAAAAAGTTACGCTAAACATCTAACTCACAAAAAACATTTTATCCACACCCATAGAGAAATATTAGTTATGCAATGCATTACGTTGTTTATTATCTCAATGTCCCTGATCAGGTACATAATGAACGTAATTCTGGACAAGGTCAAATACTAAATTCAGTTGTATCTAGCACATAATCATTAAGAAAATACAAACATACAGAAATTTATATATATATATATATATATATATATATATATATATATATATATATATATATATATATATATATATATATATATATATATATATATATATATATATATATATATATATATATGCAATAAACTGACGACGAACAGTACGAAACTAGTAACTAACTAGCCTAAGCGCTTTCGACTCTTAATGAGTCTTTTTCAAAGGCAAATACAAAACATATATACGATAAACAGATACACAAATAAACACAAAAACGTTGTGTTTGTAAACCTCTACATGGCTGTCTTCACATGTGCTAACAGCCATGTGCTAACAGCCATGTAGAGGTTTACAAACACAATGTTTTTGTGTTTATTTGTTTATCGTATATATGTTTTGTATTTGCCTTTGAAAAAGATTCATTAAGAGTCGAAAGCGCTTAGGCTAGTTAGTTACTAGTTTCGTACTGTTCGTCGTCAGTTTTTTGCATCTATTTTAATTAATCCCTGACACACGTGATCCCTTGGTGGATCCAGTACGCTTGAAAGGGTTGTTATTCGCCATATGATTTGTATTCTTTATATATATATATATATATATATATATATATATATATATATATATATACATATATATATATATATATATATATATATGTATACACACACACACACACACACATATATATATATATATATATATATATATATATATATATATATATATATATATATATATATATATATATATATATATATATATATATATATATATATATATATATATATATTAGAGGCATTGAATGATAATCTTACAAAAGTATAATCGTCGGTGAGGCATAATTTTACCGGACGAGGTTTTGTAACTAAAATATCCAAACAGTACAAACGAAATAGTTATTTTATATTTATCTCCATCTCATGACACCATAATTAAAGTTAACGCAAAATCCGATTCAATCATATCCTTCCAATTGACGTCGTTAAGAAAGTGTTGATATGCACTGTTTTGTTTTATTGTTAGCTTTCGATCTCTTCTGTTATGTTGTTCAAGAACGGTGAGTAAAAACAAATGTAAAGTATGTCACTTTGGAACTCAGTAAAGAAGTCACTTGATCTGGTTCCGAAATGATCCGTCGCTGGGACTATCAATCATGGTCCTAATGGTTGCCCAAAACCTGTTTTGTTTATCATTGTCTTCGCACTATATTAGAACTACTAATACTTATGTGGGTAATGAAGACTCCAAATTCATAATATTTTTGTCAAATTGTGGGTGAAAAAAGACGGTTCAATGCATATTGTACATTTACGATAGTATTTTGCACTTTTTAAAATGTGTTTTGAGACGAATAAGGTTAAAAAGACATTTCAAACTTCATCTCTTCCATTTGGTGGCGCTCTACAGTTTCGTATTTAGCATAGGGTTAAAATTTTAAAGAAAAAGAGTTTTCCCGGGTTTCCTCACTAGTTATACTTTTTTATTTAAAAAAGACTTTGTATATCTTAGGTATTGTTCAAAAAACCTTTAATTCCCTATATTTTGATCCATGATTGATGGGTGTAATATGGGTTAGAGAGTACACAGCTTGGCCGTACTCCAGATGTGCATCTTTCAAAAAAAAGTGCTAGCTCTACTAGCTCATTTTCACTTCTCGATTTTCAGAGGTAAATTGTAAAAGAAAAAGAGCCGATAACTTTTTTTTTTTACATTTTATGTATTTGGTAATTCATCCATTGCACATTTAGAAGCTGATATTATCTAGTTTGGCAAAATTCGTTTTCCATATTTTAATAGCTGCAAAGAATAGTGTACTTTAGACAAATTTAGGTTGATTTTTGGAGCACAAGGGAGCAGTCAGTTTAGTTAGCAGTGTCCTTAGATCATTTAAAATTTCCAAAAGTACAATATCCAAAGAAATTTCATCCACATTACATGAAAGTAGTATATAGGTATGCCAACATTCTCTCCACTGTGCATGTTTAAAATGCAAACAACTTCACCTGATATACATCACTCTCTCAAAAGTACATAATAACTGGTGAGCGCCACCTTTGTGGCGTAGTATCCCATTTGTTATTTTCATGGATGTCCAACATAAATACAGTGTTGGATTTCAAGACCAGGCCGTGTTGACTGACGTTTGGTACCTTTGAACAGACTGCTTATAAAATGTTTAAGAGTCATTTTTTGGATAAATGTATCCAAATGGTCTTGGTTCTTAAACATAAAATTGTATATAATTATTATAAAACCTCAGATGCATTGTATCAATAAAAGACATGTATATTTTGTATCTTAGATACACATGATAAAGAAATCGTCATACATGTTCACATCATTTCTAATCGGATTGAAAGTTGTAATTGCTTACATGCATTTACCTTGTCCTTCCTTTAATTGTCTGTTTCTGAACAAGGATATCCACGAAACTAGACGTACAGATATTTCGGCATTCGTTTTTTATCTGCAAATTGCACCTTAACAGGTACACAACTAGCTATGCACCTGTCGCAGATTATATCTCTGAGATCACGTACATAATATCTAAGGCAGATATATATATATATATATATATATATATATATATATATATATATATATATATATATATATATATATATATATATATATATATATATATATATATATATATATATATATATATATATATATATATTATAGTAGCTAACAATTATGCATGCCATTACGTGCATTCAAGCAAGATTCAAGACTTCATTGAACTTAGTTGATTTGTTTAGGCTGTTTTAGAGTGTGATTTCAAGAAAAGCTAATGAGACATGGGGCCTGGCTTGCTGGCATTACTAGTTTATATCGAAATTTAATGTTTTTCAAGACCTTAGCCCACAGTGCGTGTTTATGATTTTAGCATTTGTCCCAATTGTGCATTAAGTTCATCTTCGCTGGATTGATAGGAAAAACATGGCAATTTAAATTTAAAGAGCCTCGGCGTTGATATTGTATCCTAAAACATGTTGAAACGCAAATGTAAAGGATTGTTTTGTGTATGCATTCGAACAGCAATATTTAAAGGAAATCTGAACATTTGTTTTCAACAATATGCTTGAAAAAAATATTAGTTTACATGACTTTTCACAGCTGGCATTATTTCTAAGCAAATATTTTTAAATTGGAATGTACAATTATGCATTAATACAATAATAAATGTCACCGAACTCTTCCGCATGTATCTAATCTAGTGTGATATTAGTAATAATAGGTCTCACATGGTCGGTTTACAAAGAACTTTACCACTATTAAAACGTAAGGATGAGGATGTTGTACAGTTATACATTGCAATAGATCGACTATATCGCATGATGTTCTTTCTTCGTGATGGTGATATGTCCTACAAGCAGTCACGAATACTACTCATACTACTACTACTACTACTCATATTACTACTACTACTATTACTACTGCTGCTACTACTACGACTACAATTGCGATTACAAGCGCAGGGTTTGATTAATCACTCTTATTAATTAAAATAACAGCTCACGCTCATGAACATCATCCTTGAATGTTCTTGATGGTCTGATATTCAACAAAAAAGAAAAGTCTTGTCACCATGTGGCAGAAACTGATTTTGTAATTAAATGCTGCACATGTATTCGTCCATGGACACACTGTTTTATATATTAGTTGCAGCCAAAATAAGAAAACAAAAACAAGTACAAAATATAACTAAAACATATATATAATTCAGATTTTGTATTTACTGAATGCATCCCGATGTGAAAAAGACAACACAAAATGAAGATCAAGTAAATCACGCTGAGCAGGATAACAACATACCCCTTTGCATATTTAGAAATGTAGAAGCTCAATCTGCCCTCAGGTGTTAAAAGAGACAAGTAAGGTATGTTGTGTTTACTCAATGATAACCGGGACGGGTTCGCAGCTGAAACAGTACAACTACGATACCCAACATTAGATCAACCTGATCATGAAACAGTGTTGTGTTCGATGGCAATTCACGTTCCAAACGCACCGACACTAAATAACCTAATGGTACTTCTGTGTCACTAAACAAAAAATTTGGTCTTTTGTGGTTGATAACAAATTGACATAAGTTTGTCCGACCTTGATCTACAGCTGTGTATTGTGTATATAACTTGATGATCGCAAATATAACTGATCGATTAACAAGAAAATGAATATTCATGACTGTATACAATCACGGTTAAAAAATATTAGGTCCAGTCTGTCTTGATGGAACGCAGAACATACAATATTAAGGCTAGTGTATTACGCCTGGATGGTTGCCACATAATTTCAGGCATGCTTTTTCTTCGTTTTTTATTTTACACATCTTGAATATGACTGACTACAGTACCTGACAGTTGCAACCAAAACTTTAGCAACAACCTAAAAGTAAGCTGTGATAAGACCATGTTACATCCCAGATGATCTTGACCGTTTCAGTTTTTTCTTCTAAAATTTAAATTTATTATAACTTGTATCCATCAAACAAAACAGTGTAAACGTTATAAATGGAAAATGTGAGTTCCCTTTCAGAGAAACTATATCTTGCTGATAATAGAAAGGAAAATATTTGGATTAAATTTTAGTGAAAATTTAGGCACTTGTCGATTATTATTATTATTATTATTAT